TCATTCCTATTTCAGGAGAGTAACATTTAGATGGTAAAACGCCACTTATATACACCATTTATGATTTATTATTATGAATGAGTAGACAAAACTCTGTCACAGGGTACTTCAAAGACATACTTTTAGTTGCTTTATATTCTCTGGCAGTTATCAATTCATGTTCTTGAGTCACCTGGTTAGAACAAATTTTTTTTAAACATTGATCGCAGTTCTTGAACATTTCTCGGTTTAACTTTTTGGCAATAAAACCAGCAATATATATGTGGGTTAAATCGGTTAAGTGATTAGTTTGGCCATCTAGGTTTCAACAGATAGTTTCGCTGGTGTAGGTGGTTTTTGGTTGCTCAAAAAGAAATTCTGGTAAGAGACCAATGTATTTTCAGCGAAATCTTCACAGTTGGCACCTGGTGATTGAGATGAGATGAGATTATTTAGTAATAAAGTTTTGTATGCTGATATAAATGAGCTGGAGGWAGGATTTTCACAGCCAAGACTCCGTACAGCACCAAACAAATTTTCGATTGGGTCTTGGTTTAAATGTYTAGGAAGTATTGATTTAATACCCTTTTCTGAAAATAGTTTTGACAATGTTTGAAACCCTGTGAACAAAATAAGTGCAAATGTATTAATATTAGATAATAGACTGCATTGTATTGCATGAGTTGCATTGTATTGCATGAGTTGCATTGTATACCATATAAACATACTTTTTATTGTTGTTATCGAATTTCTAACTGTGGGAACATTTACACGTTTGCCATTTGGTGTATAAAAGCACATTGAACTCAAAACTTTTWAGCTATCTGACCATAATTGATGATGCACAGAATTTCTTGTAACAGCAGTGCGATAAATTTTTCCTTCAATAACTTTACTGAAGCTACCATTCATTGAATCGAACAATTTATCAAAGAATAAAAATATTTCTGCTGTATCTATAGCACTGGGTTCAATTATACTTTTTGTTAAAGAAAAAAATTCATAATTATTTAAAATTTTTAATATTATACTAAAAATTAAAACTTACAAGCAAGGAAATTCATAATAGCTGATACTCTTTGACTAAAGCCCTGAGTTTCGTAGCGCAGTTTCATTTTGTTTATTTTTTCGGGAACTACATGATTGTCAGTCAACCTGGGCAACATTTTGGCATCTGGTATAGAACTATCAACATTATATAGTTGCTGTAAATGTTGCCACTTGGCTACTCGTTTAGTACCGTTCATTTCAAAATGTAGATTTTTGTTCAATAAATTGTTTCGAGTACATTTTAAGAGATGAGGAACATCAAATATGTGAATAATTTTTATTCTTTCTTCATTTTTCAATGGCACCTCATAAAACTCTTCTYTATAGTCTTGGTCAGCATGATTTTGAAGATAGTATTTTCTGGTTTTATTATTCAATATTCAATCTTATTGCGCCTTCGTTGCTTTTCCCTTGGTCACATATTGTTGCTACTACCCTAAGACCTGTTTCGTGTACTTTCTGTATAACCTTTAATAACAAACTACAACAACATAAATACATCCAATTTTAAGACGGTACGAAAAGGGAGGAGAGAAACAGGACCATCAACCTCTGGCAGTCGAAATGGGACTCAACATCCAAAGCGGCACGGACCAGGTAGGTTATCCCCGATATTCGCAGGTGGCTTGAAAGAACCGTGCCCTTGGTGCCTCTCTCGTTCTACATGACCCAGGCACTAACGGGTCACGGTTGCTTCCAGAGCTACTTATTCCGGATGGGCCGGGCTACTTCCACTCGGCGCTACCACTGCGATTGTATGCATGACGACGTAAGGCACACCCTGCTTGAGTGTCCGTACTGGAGCGGGTTAAGAGCAAACTTCGGTATCCGTCTCGGCCNGCTTGATGGAGTTTTAGGATGATTGATTTAATGATAAGGATTAGAGAAGACAGATGAGAGTCAAAAGGATTAGACATTAGTGCTTGTAAACAAGACATTGAATCAGAAGCAATTAAGTATTTATTGGASGCGAGGTTTGAAATAAGAGATAAAGCTTCAATGATTGCATARCACTCAGCAGTGAAAGATGAAGAAGAAGGAGGTAGATTGTTTGAGAAGGAAATATGTAGTTCTGGGATATAAAAAGAATAGCCGGCAGAAAGAGGCGAAACAGAGCCATCAGTATACACCACGATGAAATGATCAAAGTTTAACTTAAGAAACTCAGAAAAAATTTTATTGACCATAGGGAAAGACATTTTTTTAAGTTCTAGAGAGGATAGAGATGAGAATTGGTTTTCGAGTCTAACGAGGGGAAAGAGTAGAAGAGATTCAAATGATTGTTCGTAAAGAGGTAATTTGGATGATTTACAGATATATTGGTGAAAATTAGACAGAGCATTAGCTGAGATAGATAGTATAGGCATAGACTTWGATACATAACGCCAAGAAAGAAAAAGAGAAAAAAACATGTCAAAAATAAAATGGTTTGAATAAGCTAGAGATTTAAGAAGAAATTTACCGGCTAGCCATTGACATCTAATATTAAAAGGTGCACAGTTAGCTTCGACYTCAATGACAGGACAAGGAGTGGATTTAACAAAACCCATAATGTTCCTCAAACAGGAAATTTGCAGTTTGTTTATTTTTTTCCAATTCGAGAAGGAAGCAGAGCCGAAAAAGAAACAACCATAGTCTAGTTTGGATCGAATGAGAGTGCGGTAAATTGTTAATAGGCAAGAGGGGTGAGAGCCCCACCAGGTATTCGACACTACCCTAAGGAAATTGGACCAACGAGAAATAGAAGCAGAGAGTGAGGTTATGTATGGTTTCCATCGTAATTTTGTGTCTAGTATGATGCCCAAATATGTGACATTGGGAACAAATGAGATGATTTGGTTATCGTAGTAAACATTAGGAGGATCTATATATCTACGTCGAGTGAAAATAACGGAATTACATTTCTCCGGAGCAACTTCAAACGATACCCTATCTAATATGGTTCTTAGGTCTTTAAGAGCTGAATTTAGATGTTCGACAGCAACACTAAGAGACTTATTTGAAGTGAAAATGACCATATCATCAGCATAAATTAGACATTGATGCCCGAGGGACCTTAGATTCTTATCGACAATGCTCATATRTATATTGAAAAGTAATGGACTAAGACAACTACCTTGCGGCAGACCTGTGAAAGTAGAACGAGTATTATGTGAGCCAAAGGGAGAGGAGAAGAAGAGATTTCTATGATTAMAGAGAGAGAGCAAAATGTTACAGAAATTAGGAGGAGCATGTAAAGAAAGGAGATGTGAAATAAGAGTGGAGATATTGACAGAGTCAAAAGCGCCGCGAATATCAACGAAAGTAGCTACAAAAAATTGCTTATTGTTAAAGGAGTGATAAATATGACCCACGAACGTTGCGAGGCATTCCGTGGTACCCAGACCTTTCCTGAAAGCAAAAATATTAGTAGATAAAATAGAGTTAGATTCAAGCCACCAATCAAGCCTTGATTTGAGCATATATTCGAATATTTTGCACAGAGAGGAAGAKATCGCTATTGGTCGGAAGGAAGTATTAGAGTTTTGTTTAGGTATAGGTATGATTTTATAGGAGTTCCACGACAACGGAATTTGTTGATTATTAAGTATGTTGYTCATTATAGAGAGGAGAGAATCTAAAGCGTTTTTGGGAAGGTGTTTAAGCATAATTGGAGAAATATTATCGAGACCAGAAGCGATAGACTTACGGGAAGAAATAGCTAGTTGTAATTCTGATATATTGAAATTGTTTATAAGAACATGATCGGGACGGACAGAAGGAGAATAACAAGGGAAAAATTCGGAATAGTTTGGGACATAACATGGCGCAATTTTAGAGCAGAAACTCTCGAACCAATCATCATTGTCTGGACGTACAGGAGAAATAACGCAGTTTTTGAAACGACGAGCTGTGGACCAGAGGTGTTGTATGGTATTGGATGGTTTTAGTCTAGATTAAAAACRCTTCCAACTATTTCTTTTTTCATTTTTTAAAGTTCGAGTTGTGAGGGCACATGCATTGCTATATAAGAGAAAGTCGGACATAGAACCTGTGCGACGAAAAGTTTTAAAAAGTGAGGATCGATTTTTCACAGAGTTGGTACAAGTAGAGTTCCACCAGGGAGGAGTGGGCGGGAAAGATTTTTTATTTGGTCTCATACTGGGAATTGTTGATATAGCTGCATTATCAATGATGTTTGTGAACGCTGTATAGAATATTAGAGGGTTTGGATCATTTGATAAAGATGAAATCGAGTTTTGGATATGGTGGGAGAAAGACGCCCAATCCGTTTTATTAAAATTGAAATGAATAGGAATATTTCGGATTGAGTCAGATCTGGGAATTGGGTATGTGAGATTAGAAAAGTTTGTTATAATGGTAATTGGGAAATGATCACTACCGTGAGCATCACATAAAGTATTCCATGATAACTTCCAAGCAAGGTCGGGAGAGCAAAAAGATAGATCKATGGCTGAATCAGTGGAGTTTAGGCGCCCCACGTGTGTAGGACTACCGTCGTTTAAAATACATAGGCCTAATGAGTTTATAGTGTCATAAATCTGGTTTCCTCTACGAGAAGTTTGAGTGGAACCCCAGGCGGGATGAAAGGCGTTGAAGTCGCCGCAAAATAGAGAGTTTTGAGTGACTAAATTAAAGATGGTCAACCAGAGATCATTAGGAACATTAGAACTACCGGGGATATAGCAAGACCATACCTTAAGTGGAAATGGGAGATCTGATTTCGAAAATTCAATACCAATAAGATCAATTTTAAACCTTATGAGACTATTTCTGGTTATATTGTCAATGGGTATAAGTTTAGATTTAAAAGAATTATGTACAGCTATGGCGACGCCACCATAGCCATCTGGCCGATCGCATCTAAATGTCCTGAAATGTGGTATTTTGATGGAGCGTGATGGGAGGAGCCATGTCTCGGAAAGAATGGCTATAGAATATTTTTGGCTAGCGAGTAAGTATTGCAGAGATGGAAGGCGAGCTGCAAGGCTCCTAACATTCCATTGCRAAATATTGAAATTTTGGAGGGAGTTTATTTTATTTTTGTGAGAGAATTGCATAGTTATTTAGTAAATTAATTGTGTATAAGTTTTGAGATGATCGTGTGATAGCTAGACAATTGTTATTATTGAACAGAAGAATTAGGAATAGGTATAGCTAGGAGGGAAGATAAAGAAGATTCTATTAGATTCTGAAGGKAGGAGGGAGAAAACGGAGAAAATAACGAAGGGGAATTAATGAGGGATTCGGAGAGTTTGAGGGATAGTGTATGTACCCAAGAGAAATCATTTGGGGTACTTTCTTGTAACAGAGGTTGATTAATATCTGATTTGTTAAAAAAACACCCATTAGGAGAAGAATACGATTGTACAACTGGTAAAGTAATATTTCCTTTAGATTGAGGAGGACAATGTTTATGTTTAATTTTTTTAGAATTGAAAAAATGGTGATTGTCATTAAGACTGGGGAAATGATCATAATTTAGAGAGTGGTTAATTTCAATAGATTTAGAAGTTGGAGACTGGTTGTTAACAATGTCAGAGTATTTGAAAGCAGAAGTATAACAATTATTWTTCTTAAAAGCTATCGCATCCTTGTAAGAAATATTTTCAGTTGCCATGATTTTTTTAATACTCTTTTGGGTAGACCATTCTTGACAACTTCGGTCCGTAGACAGGTGAGGTAGCTTGCAAAAAAGACAAACCGGATCAGTGGCTTGGGCAGAGGGACAGGTTTCGAGCGTGTGCTTGGCTTCACCACAGTGACTGCACCGTGCGTCACTACGACAGTATTTTTGAGTGTGTCCAAACCGTAAACAACGGTTACATTGAACGAGAGAACGAATACTAGGC